CAAGGTTAAAAATTTATAAGGGATTTAGGGGAAAATGGCAGGGTGGGGCTTGATTTTTAGAGATGGGGAAATACAGTGCCGACTCTGAAGGGGGGGTGTTAATGTTGCAAAATTTTTTAACGGGAGGGGTAAACAGCCCTTTTGGGAAGACGTGAAAGGACTGGAAAGATATGAATTTTCTTTTTGGGCCACCCTTTCCTTTGGGGGAAATGGCCGATGTGTAATTTAAAATAAAAAAAAAAAATAATTTTATATTTAAAATCAATATAAATTTTTTTTTTAAAGATTTACAGGTTTACCCTTTAATGAATTTTCAGGTATATGAACAAAAATGGGCAAAAACAAAAACAATCATTGAAGCAAAAGGTTTCTTGCATATACAGTACAAAATAGAGCCCGGAGGGGCTTTGACTAACCCCCCAACCTTTTAAAAAGAAAACCTTTTAAAACATACATTGGGCCCTGCAATCACATGCAGCCTTACATTTTTTCCCTGTCTTGATAAACTGTCTACAAATGCAAGGCTAAGGTATATAATTTTTTTTTCATATATTTTGGAAGGACGGTTTTTTAGATTTGAAGTCAGAATTTGGGAAGAGAAAATGAAAAAAAACAAGGGCAGGAAAGGGTTTGGGTCCCCTTTCCCCAAAACCCCCTCGCCTTCATACAATGAATTTACTTTGTGTTTGTTTTCGGGGGTTGGTTGTGTTTCCCCTCTATTACCCATTACTTTGTACAAATAGAAGGGGAATAAATTTTATTAGTGTACCAGGATTTTTTAAACATCATCAGTTGTTTCTTTAATTTAAAAAAAAGGGGATTTTAAAAAAAAAAAAAAAAACATTTTACCCCTCAGTTACTCCCCGGCTGTCTTTTTTAGAAGGATTCATGCTTCATGATCCCAAAAAATCATTGAGCTGCAACAAAATCTTGCAAAGTACTCCCCCTTTGGGTTCCTTTAATAATTCCATTTCACCCAATTTCAGAGCACAAACAAAAATAAAAAAAAAAAAAAAAAAAAAAAAAATTTTTCATTCACCGTGTTTCCCAAATTCAAACAAAAGGTCCCATTTTTTAGCTAGGGACTGAGTCGCTATCATAACCCATAATATAAAAGGCCTTTTCCCCTGTGTATAAAAAATTTGTGAACTGTTTTGAAAAAAAAAAAGAGGGTATTGTTTTTCTCCGAAACCAGCTTAAACTGAACAGATAATAACAACCTTTCCTAGAAGGAATTTAGGGCCCAGTGAATTGCCAAGCAAGTTCATTAACATCGCCAATTTTTGTTAAAAAATAATTAAGTTGTGTATAAAAATTGAAGTACTAAATCACCCACTGTGAAACCACCATGACCCCATATTCAACGAAAAGCTCTTTGACCTATTAGATCATTCGTGCTCTTGCAATAAAAAGTAAATACGAGCAAGAAAAAGGGAATGTACTAAGGTACCTTATTATAGGGGTTTTTGGGTATAGGTTTGAATTTTGGGCAAGGAGGAAAAGGCTGTAAAATGTCTTTTTGTAAGAAATTTAGGGTGCAATTAGTAGAAATGCTGTAAAAATTAAAAGGGGAGGGGCAGGGTCAAAAGGTAAAATTTCAGAAGGCTGAGGGGGTTGTCAAGGTTCCCTAAAGGGGGTATTCCAGGGGTCAATCCCCCTGAAGCCCAATCCTTCCCAGGCCTCGCATGGTGGGGCCCCTGATCAACAGGCTGTTACGTGGCCACATGTATTTCCAATGTAAAAAATAAAGACGGCGATTGGGTACTGCTAGGCTTTTGTTCAGCCCCCTCTTAAGGAAAGCCGAGGTCTTTTTGGAAATTTTCCCCTTATGCCTGGGGGAGGCTTTTGAACAGGGGGGCCCCCAGACACTTGTGCCCTATTTTTCATTGGGGGTATATGCCCCCATCGCCTTGTCTTTTTTTTCACGTGTTTTTCTGTGTTAAATTTGGGCCGTCCTTCTAGATTTTCCAGGTGTAGATTATGTCCCTCCTCTTGCCGTGTCAAGGAATACGGGTAGGTCAGTGACCCCAATTTCCCCCAGAAATTAAGGTGCTTGATTGAATTTATGTGCAGTGAAGGTTCCTTTACATTATTAATCTGTAATTTCACCGTTTGAATGGAGCTGTTGTGACAGCGTTTTCCAGCCTAGGGTGAAAAAGTATTTAAAAACCCTCATCACGGGAAAGGCACCCCTTTTTTTTAAAAAATTCTCAATCATCCTAACTTTTTCCTTGAAGAGTGATAGTGACACTATTAATCCTTGAAGTAAGTTCTCGCCTCCGGTCTTTATATACTTTTTCACTTTATTGTGGAGTTAGAGTTTGTAGATACTCGTTCAAATTTTTTCCTTCAGTTTTCAAGAAGAGAAATTGAAAATTTGTTTCAAGAACATCTATTTTTTGTTGTTGTTTTTGTTGTTGACCATGGAAAACTTGGTTTTATCATTTGGAATTTACTGTACCTCAATGGATGACTCGGCAGATTCTAGTATTTTGCAAAGGAAGCAAGGTGCTATGGTTTACTTTTATGTTGAAGGGATAAAGGAACAGAAGGAGCGAGTCGTGCCTTGTGGGGAACCCCTGACTTACCCCCTGTGTTCAATGGTTAAAAAAATTGAAAATCCATCTGCAAATTTTTCATTACACATACATTTTGTGCATATTTCATTTGATCACATTGTCAAAGGGTTTTGTAAAGTTATATATTATATTTCATTCTGTCCTCCAAGCACCCGATCTATTAAAATGGTCAGTAGTTGCAAAAGCAGGAGCAAATGCTCAAACCCATGTTGCCCGGATTGTGCAAGTGTTTGGGGTCCAAGTGAATGGGGATCAGTGTCTTAGCGCTTTTAAAAAATTTTATGATGTGGGAAATTAGAGGGTTGGGCATTGAAAGGGAGATAGAAAAGTTTGGACAAAATGGTGTGTAAATCAGGGGTAGGAGGGGTAGGGGGGTCATACTAGGAATGGTTTTTCAAGGGGGAGGTTTAAAAGGCTTGAGTGTTTAAGGGCCCGAGATCCCGCAGGGTTTTGTAAATTTAGCAGACAGGGAAAATACTCTGAAAGAGAGGTGAGGATGTGCAGTCAAAAGGTTAATCTAAATTGTGAAGTTAGTACATTCTGGCAAGACAAAGTTTAATGATGACAAAGAGTTTAAAAAAAAAAAAAAATCCCCGACCAACTATAGCTATTATAATTAAGGGGGTAAACCCAAAATACAGAAAAAAAATACGAGGGAAAAATTAAAAAATAATGCCAATACTGTAATAGTTAAAAAATTATAATACAAATTTTAAACCCGACTTTAAAGTTGCTACAATCACAAGTCACACAAAAGTGGTGCAGTGAAGCAGAGAGGTTGAATAACAATGCGTCCATTAAAAAAATCAGTGGGAGCAGCGGCACCAGCGCTATGCCCAAGTCCTTGATCCAGTTCAACCTTCCAAATCAATTCCATGTCACTAAGTGGAGTCGCAGTGGTGATGGTATCCCAAACTAGCCATTAAACCTTCTGTATGGGGCAGCCACAAAAAATTTTTTTCTAAAAGGGAGAAAATACCTCAACTAGTTAGGGGGAAGGGAAGGTTGGGTTCTTAGTAGGCAAAGCCCCCCAAAAGCCATCAGACTTTAAGGGGCCAACATAATGAGTTCCAAAACTGAATCTTTTTGAAATGGACCAAGACAATCATTAATAAATTTCATTTTTATAGGGTGGGGGAGACATCACGGAAAACATGGAGAATTTTTGCAAAAAAATTGGGTTCAAGATATTCGAGCAGACATGACTATTTTTAAACTTAACATTTTTGGGACTTGTTTTCCATTTGATCTAACAAAACTGTAATTTTCCCATTTATAAAAATAATACAAAATAAAGTAATTTCCAAAAAATAATTAACCCCAAAAAGGTAAACCCTCTTAATACCATGGTTTATTTCATAAAAGAACCAGAAAACCCCCATCGCTGCCCCCAAATTAGCCCTTCCACAGCAGACCAAAAATTTCATAGATTAGGTGAAAAACTTTTTATGAATTATGTTATTCAATCATACTCTTAATGAATGGCTTCCACTCATGTCTTGCCCATTACCACATCTCATGCAATGTTCACATTTTCTCGGTCTTGCCCTTTACTTGAATACCAGACTATAAATATTTTCCACTGTACTTATTTTCTATTGTACTATCATTCATTTATTGAACAAAATCTTGTCACCATAACACATACAGCAACATTATGAGTAACACATGTAACAGGCTAAACATCTCAACATTATGAAAAACACACACTCAACACAACTTTAATTCTTCTCAACATTACAAGTAACACATTCAAGATAACCTTAACAATGTGAAAAACACATTCCATACAACCATAGCAATTTTTTTGCAAGATTTCTTCTCTGGACACAGTAAGGCAGAGGCACAATATGGCATAAGCTGCCAGTGGCCCTACAAACCCCAAGAGGAACCGTAACATACTCAACATTATGAGCAATACATTCAACACATCCATAACACACTGTCAAGACAATCACATTATTATAACATTCAACTCACCCATAATACATTCAATATACTGTACAACAAGTAATGCAAAAAGATTTTAATTTAAATAATTTGCTATTTCCTGTTGTTGCTGAAGTGGTAGTGTCTTTGGCTCACAACTGAATACCCAGGTTCAAACCCAGGATGAGTGTAAGCTTCGGGTGACATTTCCTTACACATGTTGCATTTGTTCATCTAGCAGCAAGTAGGTACTTGGATAGCTGACTGTTGTGGGATGCATCACAAGGAAGAAGATCAAAGGACTCAAACAGAAATAAACACACCGATTAGTTTTCTTGGATTATCCTGAGTTACTAACCCTCTGGGTTAATAACCCCCCCAAAAAAAGCATCTCTTTAACAAATAAAATATGGAAATAATCCTAGTGTTCACTTATTTCCCATTCTCATTCCTTATTCTCACTCTCCTAGTGCCAATGGTGACACTATTCAAATCACTTGTGCTCTCTCATTTAGAGTATTGTTCAGTGCTGATGGCCCTGTTCAGGGCAGGGAAGATATCGGAACTGGAACAGATACAGAGTTCATTTACAGCCCACATACAGCCAACAAAGCATTTAAATTACGGAGAATGCCTCAAAATCCTAAATATGTACTCACTGAAATGGAGGAGATACATAATACAGTATATACCTAGAAGAGTACTCGAGGTCTTAGTTCCATTTCTGCACATTGCTCTAACAACATACTAGGTAAAAGATACAGTAGAAAGTACGGTAAACTGTCATTTAACACGGTAGTTGCGTTCCTGAAAATGCCGGGTTAGGTAAAACAGTGTTAGATGAACTGAAGAACTTACGGAAAAAATAGGGTTACGCTCCTGGGAGCCCCCAAAAAGCCAAACAACTTTTTTTTTAGGCCTCCAGATCTTACAAAAATAAAAGAGAATATGTAATTGTAGTTCACTGTCGTGACGTATTATGTTGTTTTTACTACATAAGATTACAAATGCAACAGCAATAATAGTATTTCTTACTTTAAATTGTGGGTGCTGGTGTTTGTGGATGATTGTGGAGAGTGGAGAGTTATGCTGTGGCCCTACTGGGTTGAGGTGGATGGTAGAGATTCTGGTACTGAAGTCGATGGTTGTACTGGAGTGTGCATAAGTTTTGTAATGGATTTCTGTTCTATTTTACCCTCAGTACATTATACAATTGATGGTATGGCATCAGCTGCTCTAGATGCCATTTCAGGGTCCTCTTCACTGAAAAAAGTCTAAGTCATTCAGTCAGTCAAGTCAATAAGTCAATCAGTAAGTCATTTATTCATTCAGTCAGTCAAGTCATTCATTCAGTCAGTCAAGTCATTCATTCAGTCAGTTATTCAGTCAAGTCAATAAGTCATTCAGTCAAGCCAGTCAGTTATTCAGTCAAGTCAGTAAGTCATTCATTCAGTCAATCACACAAGCTCATGTTTACCTCATTTTATGTGCAAAGAGTGAGCTTCATTACGGCCACAGGTTATCTCTTGTCTAATGTCTGTTTTCTTCGTTAATTCTAAGACTTAAATGCTTATACCTTTTCTTGCCACTTTCAGTAAGACTGGTATGCCTACTGGGTGCCACGATTGCTAGGCAGATACAAGATATGGTAATTAAAAGATCAAAATACAATTCACAAACATAGCTAGCTTGTAGCAGAGAAGAGAAACTGGACACGTATGAATTACCTACTTACCCAAAATTAAACACTCAGTACTTAACTTTACCTACAAACCTAAAAAATCACTCTCCACTGCTCCACTCTCTCACTACTCCCCTAGCCATAGAACCCCAAAAATGCTTTAACCCTTTCAAGGTCGAGAGGCCCTCTCCTAAACTCGTTCTCAGGTTAGAAAATTTTTCGGGAGTAACAAAAAAAAAAAAAAAAAATCAAAGTATCCAATAAATTGGTCAGAAATGTGCAATTTTGCCAATTTCACACAAATTTCAGAAGATGCAAATTTCCAAATATGGTCCAGAATAAGCAAGACAGTCATTCTTGGCACTAAAATAACATTTTCTCTGTTCATTTGTCATGTCCCCAGACCCCTCTTACATCTCTTTTGCTTTCCACTTCGAATTTTTATTCTCACAAAAAATAGAAGATTTACTGTTATGCAGACTACTGCCTTAGCGTAGAAATGGTATAAATAATATCAGTGCACTTGTGAAATAATATTAGACTCGCCAACTGACGTGTATTGGACGCTTGGCATGATTTGTTTACTTTTGAAATTTGGTAAAAATAGAACATTTCTGCTACTTTGAGCTCAATTTCAAGGTACTGTTTGTTATGAAAATAATCAAAATCATCTCAATTTCTGTAATATTTCTTCCATTCTATAAAATGAGACCAGGAAAACTAGAATACAACCATAAATACTATACGAAAATACACTGCAAATTCGCCGTTTTAAACCAAAAACATGGTCGGAGTTTTTTTTTTTTCTCATTATGCACTGTGTGCTGCAGGATTTTGTTTATACTGTGCACACTGACCACATAGACCCATTCTTTCATATGTAGGCCTACCAGCTTTCTCACACTAGATTTGAAGGTGTTAGAATTTAGGCGTTCTAGTAAGTCAATAACCCTGGTGCATAAGCCGTACCAGTACGTCGGAAAAACTGAAAGGGTTAAGTACAATAAATTCTCATATTTTAACCTAATGCAAATGTTGAGAAACAAATATTTAACCCTTTGAGGGTTTTCGTCGTACTAGTACGTCTTACGCGTAGGGGTTTTTGACGTACTAGTACTCATAAATTATAGCGGCCTCAAATCTAGTGGGAGAAAGCTGGTAGGCCTTCATATGAAAGAATGGGTCTATGTGGTCAGTGTGCACAGTCTAAAAAAAATCCTGCAGCACACAGTGCATAATGAGAAAAAAAAAACTTTGACCATTTTTTTTAATAAATCAGCGACTTTGCAGTGTATTTTCGTATGGTATTTATTGTTGTATTCTAGTTTTCTTGGTCTCATTTTATAGAATGGAAGACATATTACAGAAATAGAGATGATTTTGACTGGTTTTACAAAGAAAGGTACCTTGAAATTGAGCTCAAATTAGCAGAAATGTTCGATTTTTACCAAACTTCAAAAGTAAACAAATCGTGCCAAGCGTGCAATACACGTCAACTGGTGAGTCTAATATTCTTTCACAAGTGCACCAATAATATTTATACCATTTTTTACACTAATGCAGTAGTCTGCATAACAGTAAATCTTATATTTTTTGTGAAAATAAAAATTCAAAGTGGAAAGCAAAAGAATATAAGAGGGGCCTTGAGACGTGAATAATGACTAGAGGAAATGTCATTTTAGTGCCAGGAATGTCTTTCTTGTTTATTCTGGACCCTATTCGGAAATTGGCATCTTTTGAAATTTGTGTGAAATTGGCAAAATTGCTAAATTCTGACCACTGTACTGGATAGTTGAATTTCATAAATGAGTGGTTTCTTGCACCCATTCGATAGAAAAAATGGAGTTCTAGCGAAATATTCATGTTTTGTGTCGACTAGTACAGTGAAATTGGCCGAAAATGGGGCTCAAAGTGGGCAAAATCGCCGATGCGTAAACATCGCCGAGACCGCTAACTTTGCGAGAGCATAATTCCGTAAGTTTTCTATCAAATTTCAAAGTTTTGGTGTCTTTATGATCGGGAAAAGATTCTCTATCTTTTCATAAGAAAAAATAATTTTTTTTTTTTAAATTTGGCCGACCCTGAGAACGAGTTTCGGAGAGTGCCTGTCGACCCTCAAAGGGTTAATAGATGTATAACATATTGTACAATTAGTGCAACCTTATCAAACAATGTTTTGTACATCTAATGTTAAGTAATCAGTAATGTATTAAGTTTAGATTGCCTGTAATGCCAAGGCATGATAGTGGCTCTCTCTGCACTACAAATCATTGCAAACCCTCACTGTAAACTATGTAATTTTTTTTTTCCCAACAAGTCAGCCGTCTCCCACCGAGGCAGGGTGACTCAAAAAGAAAGAAAATCCCTAAAAAGAAAATATTTTCATCATCATTTAACACTTTCACCTCACTCACACATTATCACTGCTTTTGCAGAGGTGCTCAGAATACAACAGTTTAGAAGCATATACGTATAAAGATACACAACATATCCCTCCAAACTGCCAATATCCCAAACCCCTCCTTTAAAGTGCAGGTATTGTACTTCCCATTTCCAGGACTCAAGTCCGGCTATATAAAAATAACCGGTTTCCCTGAATCCCTTCGCTAAATATTACCCTGCTCACACTCCAACAGCTCATCAGGTCCCAAATACCATTTGTCTCCATTCACTCCTATCTAACACGCTCACGCACGCTTGCTGGAAGTCCAAGCCCCTCGCCCACAAAACCTCCTTTACTCCCTCCCTCCAACCTTTTCGAGGACGACCCCTACCCTGCCTGCCTTCCCTTACAGATTTATACACTCTCCATGTCATTCTACTTTGATCCATTCTCTCCAAATGACCAAACCACCTCTATCATATGCCTTTTCTAAATCCATAAATGCAATGAAAATTTCCCTACCTTTATCTAAATACAGTTCACATATATGCTTCAATGTAAATGCTTGATCTACAAATCCCCTACCCACTCTAAAGCCTCCTTGCTCATCCGCAATCCTACTCTCTGTCTTGCCTTACCTCTGGTTCTTTCAATAATAAGCCAACCACATTGTAAACTTGCAAGGAAATAAAGGAATTTGAATTTGGGATGGTGTGTCAGGAGTGCTTGAGGAAAAGGGAATTTTTTTCCCCTCCTGTAAACTAAACCGTGTTAAATTAATTTTATGAAGTGTTGTATAAAATTGTGCTGCAATTCTTCAATTGTGCTTTACCCGAATCATGCCGAATAAGCTCATATTAAATGATGGTCTACTGAACAAAATAAACCCAGTGAAAAGCAGGGGCACCGTGGGCATCGTATGAGAACATTATATCAACATTTGTAGTCCAGACTATTCAACATCATACCAGAAGATATCAGAAACACTGGTAAGATCAGTACAGAAGTCTTCAACATGAAACTGGACAAGTATCTCCACCAAGTGCCAGATCAATCAGGCTGTCATGAATACATGGACCAGTGGGCTGCCAGCAGCAACAGCCCGGGTGATCGGGCAAGCACCAGACAAGCCTGGCCCAGGGTCAGGCTCCAGGGGTAGAAAAGCTCTTGAAGTTTATCCAAGATATACAATGAAAGACTAATGTGGAAATGCTTAACTATAGGAAGAATAAGAAGCAAACTATAAAATTGTATATTTTTCTCAAGGTAAATATTAACAATGATAAAAAATGTGCAACTATATTTTTAATTTACATAAACGTTGTGATTAAAGGGGAAAAATCGACATGAACACGTTCGTTCATAATGAAGAAATACTAAGCAAAATAAATCCCATGAAGACTAATAAACTAAGTGACAGATGGATGCTAGAACTTAACATAAAAAATAGCAGAAAGAAAAAAACAGGTCACATGAAAAAAGATATAGGCTGTAATAACATAATCCACCAAAATGAGAAGAATCTGGGCATAATTTTAGAAAAATATAGTTTTCAATGGAAGATCACACAAATACTGTAGCTGAGAAATTGTCACACTATACTGGTAAACTTCAAAAAGATCATGAAAATGATAAGGATTTTCTTCCTGCCTCCACGTGCGAGTACTGCTGGAAGCTCCGAGTGGGCAACCAGGCCTAACCGCAGAATACCGACTTTGATGTATGAACACATACATTTCAACATTAATGTCTAGTGGTCCACAGAGATCCTCCCACCCCAAATGTCCTTTCTGGGTTGTTAACTAGCGAATGAGTAGTAGGTGGAATCACTAGAAGCCTCTGGATGCAATGTAAGTCCTCAAGGCTAATACAGAGAATAGTACATAATAATCCTTACAAGGTGCAAAAATATGGAAAGTAATGGGCATGTACCAATAGGGTCATCAGGTCCCAATGCAGAAATGCATTTTCATACTGTACTTCAAAAAGCACACCTTCAGATTTCAGGTATCATATTTTCTAATATCTCAAATTCCAGTCTATGTAGCTAAGTTCAAAAATCCCTTCAGACATTACTACGTTAGAATATAAAGGATCTCCATGGGCGATTTTTCTTCACTCTGACCTAATGTGCTCACATGAATCTTGGGTATTTCTGCCCCTACCTCTTTATACAAATTAAAAACCAACAAGTCTTTAGTCGGCCAAAAATGACTTTCCATCTACACAAAACTTCCTTTAAATACCAGCTGTCTCCTACTGAGGTAGTGCAACCCGAAAAAGAAGAAGCATTTTCACCACCTTTCATTCAGTCTTGCCAGAAGCATGCTGACATCACAATTCAGATGACTCTCTGAACTGCAACATCCCCACCCCTCTTTCAGAGTGTAGGCACTGATTTTCCCACCTCTAAGATTCAAGTTTGTCTAACCAGACTTATACTTTTTTTTAACCCTTTCAGGGTCAAGAGGCCCTCTCCTAAATTTGTTCTCAGGGTCGAAAATTTAAAAAAAGAAAAGGAAAGAAAGAAAGAAAGAAAGAAAAAAAAACTTATGAAAAGATAGAGAATCTTTTCCTGATCATAATGACACCAAAAGTATGAAATTTGATGGAAAACTTGCAGAATTATGCTCTTGCAAAGTTAGCGGTCTCAGCGATGTTTACGCATCGGCGATTTCGCCCACTTTGATCCCTATTTTCGGCCAATTCCAGTGTACCAGTCGACAAAAATCATAACTATTTCGCTAGAAGTCCATTTTTTCTATCGAATGAGTACAATAAACCACCCATTTACCGATTTCAACTATCCAATAAAGTGGTCAGAAATTAACAATTTTGCCAATTTCACACAAATTTCAAAAGATGCCAATTTCCAAATAGGGTCCAGAATAAACAAGACAGACATTCCTGGCACTAAAATAACATTTTCTCTGTTCATTATTCATGTCCCCAGGCCCCTCTTACATTTCTTTTGCTTTCCACTTTGAATTTTTATTCTCACAAAAAATAAAAATTTGACTGTTATGCAGACTACAGCATTAGTGTAGAAATGGTATAAATAATATCAGCGCACTTGTGAAAGAATATCAGACTCACCAGTTGACGTGTACTGGACGCGTGGCATGATTTGTTTACTTTTGAACTTAGGCAAAAATCGAACATTTCTACTACTTTGAGCTCAATTTCAAGGTACTTTTCATTGTGAAACCAATCAAAATCATCTCAATTTCTGTAATCTGTCTTCCATTCTATAAAATGAGAATAGGAAAACTAGAATACAACCATAAATACCATACAAAAGTACAGTGCAAAGTTACTGTTTTAAACCAAAAACATGGTCAAAGTTTTTTTTTTCTCATTATACACTGTGTGCTGCAGGATTCTTTTTATACTGTGCACAATGACCACATAGACCCATTCTTTCATATATAGGCCTACCAGCTTTCTTCTGCTAGATTTGAAAGCGCTAGAATTTACGTGTACTAGTACGTCAATAACCCTGGTGCGTAAGCTGTACTAGTACGTCGGAAACCCTGAAAGAGTTAATCAACTTGTTCATTTTCATCTAAAAAAATCTGAAAGCCTATTTAACACTCAATAGAGGAAAATATTTAGTACAAATACTGCATTTTGTTTTGTCAAAGGACAAAATGGGTGCCCCAAATTTTACACACAAATGGCAATAACCTAACTTATGATAATTCAGTCTGAACAAAATTTAACCACAAAATGGTCCAAACATACACTATATACGTTCTCTTGCCCAGTGCCCCAAATATTTAAAAAAAAAAAAAAAAACTGAAATAGAGAAATTTTTCTAAGTGCAATAAGATTAAAACAAAAAAATTAGGGTCAGTACTTACTGAAATATAGGGCTCCAAAGTTGGCACTTAATGCTCAGCTGATGGCAACATCAAGTCATGCCACTTGCAGAAGTGTTGCCGATATAGCATTTTTCTCATTTTTATATTATTTTATATAATTTTTATGTTCTGATAATTACAATTTATTGTAGTTCTTGTCATCTCATAACCAATCTTTGTTCTGACACTAATATTAGATACTGAAATTGTACTCAAATTGTCACAAACACATTGACAGGTGGACATTTACACCTGCCTTGGTAAGTTACTGTTGTCTAGGAATATAAAGTATTTATAGGTCCCAGCAATGTTTTGGATACAGGAGCGTATAGAAGAAGAAGGAAGAAGTTCCCTTGAAGCAATGTGTAAGACAAGTGTCAGTGACAAGCATCCGGGAGGGCAGTGATAAGATGAGATAAGCGATGGCATTTGATGGGCGCCAGTGAGGGTGCAGAGATAAGATGAGATAAAGGATGACATTTGATGGGCGCCAGCTAGGGTGCAGAGATGAGGGATGATGTCTGATGAGCTGGTATCTCCATCTCTGATTATCTCTCTCTCTCTCTGCTTGTCTCTTTTCATCTCTCTCTGTCTCAGAGAGAGCCACTGTGAACCAACAGGTATTCTTATGCATTATATCTACATGCACAGTATAGCACTTTGGATTTTTTAGGTTATCCCAGGTAATTTACACTGTGTATAATTGCATTTGTGTGTACCTGTGAGACATAAAAAGAGATAGAGACAGATAGAGAGACCCTAAACTTGGGGTTAATATCACTTTCCTCTAAAAAGGGGAGTGTTAATATGACATTACATCAGTGAATCCTTGGTGTTTGCCGCACTGTTTGCTCTAGCTGGCGCTCAACTGAACTGGCTGTCCCACAAGGTACTAAGTGGTCATAGATTTTTTTAACATGGTGCACACTGAGTGCTAAGACGCATTCTATGCTGACCAGGCATCTCAGGCCAATCATGCCAAATTTGGAGGCAGGAAAAATAAAATGTATATAAATATGTATATATACGTTTGGACCGTTTAGGGTTAAACAAAATGTTTCTTAATAATTTAAGGCAGACAATATAAAGTTAAAACCATTTTGAAAAAATACTCTATACATCCAAACAAAATTACCAGTGTCCTTTAGGTACCCTTCCTACTTCTACTACATATTCAAAATATTCACTGCACACTGAACATTTTCTTTGCCTTTTTGGTTATGAAAAACAGGAAGGGTAACTAGCCCCTTGCTCTTCATATTTCAGTCACCTTGTGTCAAGTACACAGCAAGAGAGTACAAATTCTAACCAGGTCTCCCCATGGGATTGATAAGAAAGTTACAGGTTTGAGAAACCGCCTTAAGAAATGAAGAGGAAATCAAACGCAAGTTGATTATCAATGCAAGTTTTCATGATTAGCCTGAGATTTTAACTTAACACAGAAAGAAAACACTTAAAACAGGCATCCATTCTACAGTTAATACAACTGGTCACTGGTACAGCACATCCTAAAACAGTTGCTGCCTACCAATACCAACCTTCTACCAAGTTATGTTTTATAAACTTGGCAATTGCATAATAAACTATTCACAAAGAATGCTGAAATACCAAAAATTTAAAATGGGAAATAAACTATGCCAGAAATTTTGCAATAAAACAATTTAAAATTTTCACTTAGTTCATTTACAAATTAACAAAATCTCTATTTATATGTATATCTAATTATAATTGGGAATATTGTACTTATTAGTTATTTTAAAAGGCTTACAGCTGCACACTTAAAAAAAAAAAAAAGGTAAAAGTGTAAACAAGAACAAGAGGTACCTGGATGGTCGTCTCATAGGTCGGTAGCCTGAGTAAAAGCGTCCTCGTCCACGTCCTACAACCCTCATAACTCTTGGAGGTCGATTGCTGGTGCTGATTCCAGGTTTGTTTGTACGTTTAGGCATTACCTGTGGCACCATGAAATAATATACAGTGAACCCTCGAATTTCATCATCCCTTTTCTGTATGTAGAACTACAGTTATTCTCTATAAAATGTGTTTTTTGTTAATATTTGGATGTGTGGAATGGATTAACTGGGTTTACATTATTTCTTATGGTAAATATTAACAAAATATACATTTTCTAGAGAATAACTATAGTAAAAGTGTGTGTGTGTGTGTGTGTGTGTGTGTGTGTGTGTGTGTGTGTGTGTTGTGTGTGTGTGTGTGTGTGTGTGGTTGTGTTGTGTGTGTGTGTGTGTGTGTGTGTGTGTGTGTGTGTATATATATATTATATAATATTTTTATATATATATATATATATATATTATATATATATATATATATATATATGCATATGCAATAAGATCACAGTAAACAGGTGATTTCAAAATATGCAAAACAACCACTCTGAAAAGAATAGAGAAAAATTTCCCAAGCGCTTTCGTGACTACTCACATTATCATGATAATGTGAGTAGTCACGAAAGCGCTTGGAATTTTCTATTCTTTTCAGAGTGGTTGTTTTGTGTGTGTGTGTGTATGTATGTATGTATGTATGTATGTATGTATGTATGTATGTACGTATGTATGTATGTATGTATGTATGTACGTATGTATGTATGTATGATATATAATATATATATATATATTTATATATATATTAGATATATATATATATTATATATATAATTATATAATATTTATATATATTTAAATAATTAATATGAGGTTAATCATAGAATTTGATAGAGGAAAAAAAAGGTGATGGTGCGTTGAGGTTATATGTGGAGTCAAAAAACGTTATCTATGGAGGCAAAGAAGGGGGAATGTATGAAAGTATAGTAGTACCAACACTCTTGTATGGGTGTGAAGCTTGGGTGGTAAATGCAGCAGCGAGTAGACGGTTGGAGGCAGTGGAGATGTGCTGTTTAAGGGCAATGTGTGGTGTAAATATTATGCAGAAAATTCGGAGTGTGGAAATTAGGAAAAGGTGTGGAGTGAATAAAAGTATTAGTCAGAGGGCAGAAGAGGGGTTGTTGAGGTGGTTTGGTCATTTAGAGAGAATGGATCAAAGTAGAATGACATGGAAAGCATATAAATCTATAGGGGAAGGAAGGCGGGGTAGGGGTCGTCCTCGAAAGGGTTGGAGAGAGGGGGTAAAGGAGGTTTTGTGGGCAAGGGGCTTGGACTTCCAGCGTGCGTGAGCGTGTTAGATAGGAGTGAATGGAGACGAATAGTACTTGGGACCTGACGATCTATTGGAGTGTGAGCAGGGTAATATTTTGTGAAGGGATTCAGGGAAACCGGTTATTTTCATATAGTCGGACTTGAGTCCTGGAAATGGGAAGTACAATGCCTGCACTTTAAAGGAGGGGTTTGGGATATTGGCAGTTTGGAGGGATATCTTGTGTATCTTTATACGTATATGCTTCTAAACTGTTGTATTCTGAGCACCTCTGCAAAAACAGTGATAATGTGTGAGTGTGGTGAGTGTTGAATGATGATGAAAGCATTTTCTTTTTGGGGATTTTCTTTCTTTTTTGGGTCACCGTGCCTCGGTGGGAGACGGCCGACTTGTTGAAGAAAAAAAAAAAAAATTATTCTAGGTAGTAGGCCAGTAGACAGCAACCACCCAGGGAGGTACTACTGTCCTGCCAAATGGGTGTAAAATGAAAGCCTGTAATTGTTTTACATGATGGTAGGATTGCTGGTGTCCATTTTTCTGACTCATGAACATGCAAAGTTTCAGATAAATCTTTCTACTTCTACTTACACTTAGGTCACACTACACATTTATCTATACACACTCATCTGAGTTTTCTTTGATTTTATCTTAATAGTTCTTGTTGCTTATTACTTTTCCTTTTATATCCATGGGGAAGTGGAATAAGAATCTTTCCTCCGTAAGCCATGCGTGTTGTAAAAGTCAACTAAAATGTTGGGAACAATGGGCTAGTAACCCCTTTACCTGTAATAATTACTAAAAAGAATAAGAAAAAGAAAATTTTCAAAATGGGATGTCTGAATGTGAGTGGATGTTGTGCGAATGATAAGAAAGAGATGATTGTGGATGTTATGAATGAGAATAAGCTGGGTGTCCTGGCTTTAAGTGAAACAAAGCTGAAGGGGGTGGGAGAGTTTCAGTGGAGAGGAATAAATGGGATTAGGTCAGGGGTTTCAAATAGAGTTAGAGCTAAAGAAGGAGTAGCAATAATGTTGAAGGATAAGCTATGGCAGGAAGAGAGTATAAATGTATTAATTCAAGGGTTATGTGGAGTAAAATAAAGGTTGGACGAGGTTAATCATAGAATTGATGAGGGAAAAAAAGGTGAGTGGTGCGTCGAGGTATATGTGGAGAAAAAAAACGTTATCTATGGAGGCAAAGAAGGGAATGTATGAAAGTATAGTAGTACCAACACTCTTATATGGGTGTGAAGCTTGGGTTGTGAATGCAGCAGCGAGGAGGCGGTTGGAGGCAGTGGAGATGTCCTGTCTAAGGGCAATGTGTGGTGTAAATATTATGCAGAAAATTCGGAGTGTGGAAATTAGAAGGTGTGGCGTCAATAAAAGTATTAGAGGGCTGAAGAGGGGTTGTTGAGTTGGTTTGGTCATTTAGAGAGAATGCATCAAAGTAGAATGACATGGAGAGCATTTAAATCTGTAGGGGTCGTCCTCGAAAAGGTTGGAAGGAAGGGGTAAGGGAGGTTTTGTGGGTGAGGGGCTTGGACTTCCAGCAGGCGTGCATGAGCGTGTTCGATAGGAGTGAATGGAGCCGAATGGTATTTGGGACCTGACGATCTGTTGGATTGTGAGCAGGGTAATATTTAGTGAAGGAATTCAGGGAAGCCGGTTATTTTTATAAAGCCAGACTTGAGTCCTGGAAATGGGAAGTACAATGCCTGCGCTCTAAAGGAGGGGTTTCGGGATATTATTAGCAGTTTGGGGGGATATGTTGTGTATCTTTATACATCCCTCTAGCGCCTGGAACCAATCTTGGGCGGAAAACATTATATACCGAGTCAAAAAAGGAGAATTAATGTGCACTACCTAGCAGAGTTTACTGCCAGAGGGGAATCATAGGCCTGTGTCCCGTGTGAAAAAAATAATAATAATTGAACTTTTCGTGTCAGAGGAAAGAAAGTCTCCCTGATAACATTGAGTATACATAGTGTATAGTGTATACTACAGTGGCTCCCTAGTATATTGATGATAAAGGCTAAAGTGTCATTTGAAAACTGGTGAATTTGTAAATGAAGTGATAAGCCTATAGAGGCAGGTGCCAGAAGTCGCCAGAAACTTACCACAGGTCAGCTGTTTTAATAATCTTCCTGGCCGGCTAGTGTACTCGCATATAATCTAGTGATACCAGTGAATAGCAGAATACAGTGGACCCCCGCATACCGATGGCATCACATAGCGATTAATCCGCATACCGCTTGCTTTAATCGCAAAAATTTTGCCTCACATACCGCTTAAAAACCCGCTCACCGATTTTCGTCCGAGACGCGTCCAATGTGCGGCCTGAGCCACGCTCACATGTTCCGCCGGTGGCATTGTTTACCAGCCAGCCTCCGCGGTAACATCCAAGCATACAATCGGAATATTTCGTATTATTACAGTGTTTTCGGTGCTTTTTCTGGAAAATAAGTGACCATGGGCCCCAAGAAAGCTTCTAGTGCCAACCCTACAGCAATAAGGGTGAGAATTACAATAGAGATGAAGAAAAAGATCATTGATAAGTATGAAAGTGGAGTGTGTGTCTCCGAGCTGGCCAGGTTGTATAATAAACCCCAATCAACCATCGCTACTATTGGTGGTACAGCTGCTGCTGCACTGTCAGCTGCTGCTGCTGTAGCATCGTCTGCTGCTGCTGTAACATCGTCCGTTGCTGCTGTAGCATCGTCTGTTGCTGCTGTACCACCGTCAGCTGCTGCTGCTGCTGTAGCATCGTCTGCTGCTACTGTACCACCGTCAGCTGCTGCTGCAGCATCGTCTGCTGCTGCTGTAACATCGTCTGTTGCTGCTGTAGCATCGTCTGCTGCTGCTGTAGCATCGTCTGTTGCTGCTGTACCACCATCAGCTGCTGCTGCTGCAGCATCGTCTGCTGCTGCTGTAGCATCGTCTGTTGCTGCTGTACCACCGTCAGCTGCTGCTGTAGCATCGTCTGCTGCTGCTGTAGCATCGTCTGCTGCTGCTGTAGCATCGTCTGCTGCTGCTGTAGCATCGTCTGCTGCTGCTGTAGCATCGTCTGTTGCTGCTGTACCACCGTCAGCTGCTGCTGCTGCTGTAGCATCGTCTGCTGCTGCTGTAGCATCGTCTGCTGCTGCTGTAGCATCGTCTGTTGCTGCTGTACCACCGTCAGCTGCTGCTGCTGCTGTAGCACCGTTGTTGGTGTGGCTTATTGAGAATACCAAGAAACAATTAACCCCAGAGGATTTGCCACCCAGGATAACCCAAAAAAGTCAGTGTCATCGAAGACTGTCTAACTTATTTCCATTGGGGTCCTTTTAATTTGTCCCCCGGGGATGAAACCCCACAAAAGTCGACTAAAAACCGGGGTGAACGGGGAAAAAAAATCCCTGGAACTTGTGTCATTTGGGGGAAATTTTAAAAGCCACCAGAAAGGTTTGGGTTTTTAAAGGTTTTTTAAAAAATCTTTAGTGGCATCACGTGTGAAAAGGCCTGTTCTGGGAAAAAAAAATCCCAAAACCCAGGCCTACGTACTCAGGAAAAAGGAAATTCCAGGACACAGTGTTTTCATCATTTCATTGCTGCTTTCTTCAAAAAAGGGTTTAAGTGTCTTTTTATTCTTCTTTTTTTTTAGACTAGTACATGCACAATATTTACTTTTGATTTATATTACTTTTGGGGGCATGTATCCTTTTCTTTGTGTGGGGGAAAAATGTTTTTTTTTCATGGGGAAAAAATTTTTTTTTTTTCCATACTTTTGGGTGTTTTTGGGCAGG